GGGAAGGCCCTCTATGAGGTGGATTGATTCAGTGACTGGGATAATTGGGATGGGAGTGTCAGGGACAGTGCGATTGGCACAGAACAGAGTGGAGTTTAGGGCTGTTGTGCATAGGGTCGCTGTGAGTCGCAAGCAACTCGACGATACATAACAACAACAACAACAAGAACATAATGCTGGAAGGTGAATCCTCTACATCAGAAAGTACTCAAAATACAAGGTGGATGCAACAAGGCATTTGAAAATGCCAGTCATGCTGGAGGTGGTGTGGGGGGGGCCATATTTTGTTCTATTGTGTATGGCCTTGAGCCTGATCTGACATGACAGTAACTAGCAACAGCATCAACATTCCTATCATGACTTTCTCTTGCCTTTTAAACCTACCATGAGAAAGCCTTTTGAAAACATCTTCATCTCTCATATGAATTAGAAGCCAACTTTGAATTTCCTTTGGACTTTCTTCATTCAACACAACATCTAGCACCAGCCATAAGAAATATTCCAGATGTTGTTGTTGTTATGTGCCGTTGAGTTGCTTGCGACTTATAGCGACCCTGTGTACAATAGCCCCAAACTCTGCTCTGTCCTGTGCTAATCACACTGTCTCTGATACACCCATCCCGATTACCCCAGTCAGTAAATCACTAATAGAGTGTCTTTCTATATTTATAGAGTTTTTAAAATGACAAATTTGAAACCAGATAGGAGAAGGTGGATGATTAACTTTGGAAACACCAATCTAGTTTTCAGTCTTAACGCTGCCATTGCTTATTTGACAGAATTGTGAATGTAAATGATTGTGATGTGCATATTAAATGAGGTCGTACCTGTAAATCATGTAGGACAAAACATGAAATAGATTTAAAATGAAACCTTCAAACACATCACCAACAACATATTATCGTTAGTACTCCTTTCTAATGAAAGATCTATGGCCAGAGTCTTTATGGGCTTGTAAATGAGTGCAGGTTAACAGGGCTGCACCTGTCGGTAGGCCCCAAGATAAGGAGTGTGTGTGCAGGGTACAGCTGCAGAACAGACTTCATCACAACACTTGCCTCAGAGACAGGACGTAGGTGGTTAGAGTTTCAGAAGTGACCAGTTGTGAAGTCACTTTGCACAGAGTAGAGCTTAGAGACAGTGAGTTCTGAAACCTATTGACCTTATCCTGTAAACATCTTTATGACTACAAGCAACAGTGTCCTCCTGTCTAGAGACACTTAGTGATTATATTTGCACTGGTGATGGTTTCCACTCCCAACACTAAAGCATGGTTTTGTTATTTGGCTTTTTTATTTTAACTTAAGGAAGCCTGGTAGTGCAGGCTATTCACCAAAAGGTCAGTGGTTCAAATCTACCTATTGCAATGCAAGAGAATGATGTGGCAGCCAGTCTGCTTCCACAAAAAGTAACTGTAATACCCATTGACCTTCTAACAATCAAATCCCTATGCACAGCCAAAAACTTCTCCAACAGGGTAAAAAGGGAAGCCGCAGACTGGGAAAAAGTATTTGGTAATGACATATCTGATAAGGGACTTATATCTAGAATTTATAGAATACTCGAGCGCTATAAAAAGATAAAGGTAAACAACCCAGTTGCAAAATGGGCACAGAAACTTCACCAAAGAAGACACTCAGATGACACAAAAACACATGAAGAAATGTTCAAAATCCCTACAAATTAAAGCAACTGTGATACATCATCTCACCTCAGTAAGAATAGCAAAATTTAACAGAACAACAAATATCAAATGTTGGAGAGGTTGCAGAGAAACTGGAACCCTTATTCACTCTTGGTGGGAGTGTAAAATGGTGCAACCAGTATGGAAGGCTGTATGGCACTTTCTCAAAAAGTTGGAAATAGAAATACTATTTGACCTAGCAATTCCACTACTGGGAATATACCCTAGAGAAACCATAGTTGACACCCAAGCAAATATATGGACACCCATGTTTATTGTGGCTTTGTTCACTATAGCAAAGATTTGGAAACAACCAAAATACCCATCAACAAACGAATGGATAGAGAAGCTGTGGTGTATTCACACATGGAATATTATGCAGCACTGAAAAACAAGGAACTCATGAAATATTATACAAAGTGGATGACCCTGGAGGACATTATGCTGAGTCACAAAAGGACAAAGACTGCATAATGACACTGTTCTAAAACAGGACTGACATGGAGGTTGGGGGAAAACTAAGAAAAGAGGGAATAAATAATGTCCATGGCATTGAAACAGACGAGGGAGAGAACTGTATAAAAGGAATATATGATTAGGTATCATTGGCATGACAAGAATCCAGGATAAGAGATGCATAGTAAAGTGAATTGGGGTAGGTGGGTCTATTTAACAATGAAAAAAAATTTCCAAAGCAAAAAGAAAATGGGGAGTGGGGGGAGAAAAGGAGGAAAATGTGCAACAATAAATGAATGGAAATTCAAGTTTTCTATAGACTTTCATTAAATCTATTCCAACACAAAAGCCTTACAAACTTTATCAGTAAGTTCTATCCTGAAAAGCTGATGGAAGGTCAACTATGAGTCAGTCAGTTCTAGTGTGACACATAATAATATCTTGAGTAGAAATAGACTAAACAGCAATGTGTTTAGTTTTAACATATTTTGGAGAATGGGACTTAGTAGGGTAAAACATTTAGATCACAAAACATTACATATGTGGAACATAGTACAATTAGTAAGCAGATTATAACTATTATAATTTGGCATTTTCCCCAGAATAGAGAGCTGATACTCATGTCCATCTGATGTACTAACTTCTTCCACAGCCATTAGTCACTGACAGTGGTGTATAATTGGCAAGTCCAAAAAGTCTCCAAATACCAGTGTATCTTCACTGATATTTAGCCTTTTCCACATTAAAGATAGAAATAAACTTCCTTCAGTATTTATTGTCTTATTTACCCCAAAATTCCAGGCACTTTGATAAATGGAATAATAGTTTCTAGTGTCATAGTGACTGTGAAATGCATTTTCATATCTTCTGCTCCTGTGACTTAATAATTCATTTCAGCACTTCCATTTGTAAATCACAGAACGGTAGTTTGATGGAAGTCTCACTGTAGAGAAATACTCTCCTTTTGTCACTTCACATAACCTGTAACTTAGGACTAGCATATCTACACATGCGATATTTACAAGAAGAGAGTTCACAAATTCTGATGAGGAATATAGTTTTCAGAATATGACATCTCTTAATTTTGCAGCATAAGAAGTAATTCATGGAGATTTTTAGCTTATTTAATATCTTTAGATAAGTGATAGTTTATTTGCTAGAATTTTAGGAAAAAAATTAAAGCATACTTTTGGAATGGTATGAAATTGCTTGGTCTTGGGTCCTGAATAAGGAGCCCTGGTGCCACTGCATTCAAGAGCATGGCTGCAAACTGGAAGGTCAGTAGTTCGAACCCACCATGTGTTCTGTAGGAGAAAGATGTTACCATCTGCATTTTTAAATATGATTATTGTTAGGTGCCATCAAATTGACCCTTATGGACTCTACAAACAACAGATTTGAACCTTGCCCTATTCTGTACCATACTCATCATCTCTGATACACTTGAGCTGATTGCTGCAGACACTGTATCAATTCATCTCATTAAGAATCTTCCTCTCTTTCACTGACCCTTCACCTTTCTAGCATGATGTTCCCTGCAAGCCTTGGGAACCCTAGTGGGTTAATTCTACCCTGCTTTACAGCATCTGTAAAAGAAAGAATCCACTTGATGCAGTGGGTTTGGTTATTTTATTTATGTTTTTAATAAATGAATAGGAAGTGTCAGTCAAAAAACAAAGATTTGTGTTTTCATTACAGGTCGTATTTACCTATGTTTTGGACACTTTATTTTAGACATAAAGATGCAAAAGGCATAAACCTCTCATTTGAGAATCTCTCATTACTGTGAGGGGAGTGGTAGCTGTTATCTGGCAGAAGTTGCTAGTGACACAGTAGAGAGATAGAAGCAAAGGTCGCTGAGTGTCTATGATGTTGTTAGGTACCGTCAACTGTAAATCACAAGGGAGGAGATTGTCCATCTTTCTCCCAACTGATAGGCCACCAGAGTTTCCTCGAGGGTATATAGAAGGTTACATTTTAATTCCCGATATAACAATAATAAGAGAATATAATATGTGTGAAATAAAACTCAAAAGTTTTATCTAAAGTATTCAGTCAGTTAACTTCAATTCATAGCAGTCTTAACAGGACACAGTAGAACTGCCCCATAGGGTTTCCGAGCCTATAAATCTTTACAGAAGCTGTCACATCTTCCAACCATGAAGCAGCTGGTGGGTTCAAACTAGCAACCTTTCTGTTGGAAGCCAAATGCTCAGACTATTTATAGCTGGTAAATATTTTTATCATAATATGATCCTCACCCTGATGGTCATTTTTTTGTCATTCTATTTCAGAGACGCCCAAGCAGATGGCCTGCAATGAAATTTCGAAGAGGTTCTGGACATCCTGCATATGCTGAAGTTGAACCAGTTGGAGAGAAAGAAGGTTTTATTGTATCAGAGCAGTGCTAAAATTTCTAAGACAGCAGCACCAGTACTGGCCTACAGGTGTTAAGACTAAAATGTTGCCTATACCTTTAAGACAAACAAGCAAACTCACATATACAAAGGAGTCCTAAGCTGCTATATGTAGCTGGAAGGAGACAAGATTTCTGGACAAGTCCAGCCCAGGAAGGGTAAAAAGAAAAAAAAAATCAAATTTATACAAGACACAATACCACCACTGAACATAGAATTTCTTAGTGGGATGACTCTATAGTTCACCCAGAACATCTCTTGTGGACTGATCTGAAGTGTGACCACGATTACAATGCTATTGGCTTAGATGCAGGGTTGCATAGGGATGGAAAAAATAATAGTCACAATAAAGCTTTCGTTCTCGAGGGATCTACAACTTCAATTCCAACGTTCTTCTCTAATGTCTCAAAGATAACCGTGTTCCAAAGCTTTAACCCTTTCACTCAAAAGAGTAATGTTTCAAGATTTGCTGAGAAAAGCAGTTCATTGTAAGAGCCAATTCAAACCCAAAATAGATGGTCTGTCAGTTTTTTAAACAGAATCATGGCAAAAGGACTTTATCCAGTCTAGACCATCTGTTCTAAGAAATTAATAATTTATAAGCTACAAATTTTAACTGTATAAGAGGTTCAAAGTATGCCTCCCTCTCCTTTCATAATGAAGGCCCTTTCTATGGCTGAGACAGACTCATCAAACTTTTGACTAAGCATGAGGAATGAGGGAGTGGTAAAGGAGGCTTCCCATTTTCCAGCCTCAGGATAGATCATCTGACTTATTTTAAGCAGCTTTGCCTCCATATCCCCAGCTATGAAGTCAAGCAAAGTCCACAGTTGCTCTCAGCTGAAGGAAACAATACAAGATCCCCTTGTCATTTTTTAAACAAAATTATTAAGGGGTATTAGACATATGGGGTTTTATGGTATTGCTTTTTTCAGTGTTACAGGCCCATTTCATTGTTGATTCCTGTCTAAGAAGTTATTCCAAGTCAAGCACACATCCCTGGTGATTAAAAAAAACAAAAAAAAAATGAGTGTTAGTGTTACAGAACCCTGCTGAATCATAAAGTCATTTTCTTTAAAGCACATACAAGTTACATAAATATATATATAAATATATTTTTGTTTATAACTAACACAAGGCAGGCTCTTGTGACTCTAAGAGTGCATTTTGTCACCCAGACAAAGCAAATGCAAGATGCATTACAGAGTATTTCCATAGAGTTGTAAAATAATCCTTAATATTAGAATATTTTTATGCCATTTAGTAAAAGTGGTTCAACTAGTTGCCGTGCAGTGATTGTCCTGCCTGTTTGAACCACTTTCATTCACATGAACCCACTCCCTCCCTGGCTAGATAAAGCAGATACAAAGAGCTCCTTAGACAGACCTGTTATTTGCCCTATACTCCCAATCCAAATTTTTTTAAAATTCTCCTTTAATGGGGAAAACAAAGAAGGCATCATTAAAGAAGGAAAATGATTAAGATATGATGAGCTCCTAAAGTTTAAATTCAGGTACTATGTGTATAATCTCATCAATATCCAGACTTTTGAACCTTTTTACATTCTGTGCCAAGAGCTGTTGCTTCTTAAAAGGTAAAGTGTTTAACATTTGCAGATTCAGGTACCAGGAGCTGACACATCTCGTAAGCAGCACTTTACTAACAGCTTAGCCTCTGTACACAATGTCTACATTGAATGGCATCAATCCTCTAACAGGATATCTTATTCTAACTTCACAATTGTCTGAAGTAAATGAATCAATGAGTTCTGGTTTCCGTCACATGTATTTTACTTTACCTTCCCTCCACCCCACCCTATTTCTCACAGTTTTGCAAAGCAAGGTAATCTAAGGATGTGATGACAATCTTCTGCTGTAATTATGTTCATATAAAATGTTACGACTTATTCCATGGGGGGTAGGTTTGTGCAGATAGCAATAATCAAATGACTTGCCAATGTAACTGGTGCAACTGGTATTCTACAACTACGTAAGGAACATATAGTCCTTCCTCATAGGGTAAGATGAGGCTTCTTTCACTAGCTTTATGGTGGTGCACTCCAGTAGCAGTTGTCCAGAACTTGTATTAATCATGCAAATATAGCTGATAGTCTAAACATTCTTTATTGACGTAGTGATTGCAGCAGCAATGGACATAAGTGTATGGGTGAAGATGAAGATGGCACAGGACAGGACAAGATTCAGGTCTGTTCTTTTTAGGGTCACTGTAAGTCCTACTTGACTCAGTGTCACCGAACAGCAGTAGCAACCACATGTACTTCATGATTTAGCTTCCATTTTATCCTCAAAACAATTGACTGTTCTGGGGAAAATCGATCCTCTTTTGAATTGTTCAGTGAGCTCTAACTCACTTTTGGAAAAAAAAAAAAAAACCAAAAAAACAAAAACCCTGCTGAACTTTTGAGTAAACTTCCTAACAAAACCAAATATTGTCAATGGTAAGAAGTGTCCATAGATGACACCTTTAGCAGGAAAGGGAAATACTTGCTAAATTTCCCCATTTCTCCCCATGACATTTTTACTGTATTTTTATAATGCTGGATATTCTTGATGCCCATTTACTGCAAGGGAAAAGTACCCAGTCTCTGGAAATTCAGAATGGACACCAGTCCTGTAGACGTTACCGGTCACGTGTGGGTATTAGAAGGTGTCTGTGTATCCATCTAGGATACTGTGATCACACATACACAGTGAGTAATCATAGTAGGGAGAAAATAAAAATAAGTTAAAAATACAAAGGAACAAACACACAATTCTAGCAAAATCAGATGAATGATAGTAGCAGAAGTTAATTCACCTTGATCATTTATAAAAATAATACTCAATGATTAGGTAAAAGTCTTAAAAGTCAAGGAGTATCATTTTAAGCCATTGATGACACTAACCACAATGTGAGTTTGTATGTGAAGGTTATGAAATTCAAGACACACTAACAGAAAACTAAAGATAAATAATTAAAGTTTACTTCCAATTATTATTATTATTTGAGCTTGAGGTACCTCGGGCATTTGACAATCTCTCACATGTAACTTCTAGCATTGTGCTGTATAATCTAATTGCCACTAGCCACCTGTGATCAATTAAATTTGTTGAAATTAAATAAAACTTAAAATTTATCTCCTGAGAAACATCAACCACATGTAGCTAGTGACTCGGGATAGACAATACAGATGGAACCTTTCCAGCATCACAAGATGTGCTATAGAGTTCTTTTAATTCTTTCTCCCTGGAGGAGGATGAAGAAAGAAAAGAAATTGGACTGTATTTGGGTATGCCCAAGTGATTTTAGTGTCAGAAGAACCTCTCAGAACGATGAAGAACACTTGCTGACGTGGTTTTAAGACTCCACTATGTTATCTTGGGAAAAGCACTCTGGCTTCCACCAGTCTCAATTTGTAATTTTGGAAAAGAAAAATCACTTTTGTCCTATCTTCTTTGCAGGATTAGTATTAAAATATATGTGTGGTGGATGTGTAAAGTCTTCTAAAACCTTTTGTAAATGTAATCCATAGAAAGCACATCTCTTAGTTTGAGTATCAGCACAAATTTTAATTCAATTAAAGAATTTATAATTTTTTTTAAAAAATTTTACACTAAAATATCACTCAAAGGCAATCAAATTAATAGATTTCTACCATAAATGATAAAGGGGAGTGCTTATAAAATTTCTTAAATTTGTCTTTTCACATTTCTATTTTAATAGTTCCTCTAATGGAATTTATCTAAACTATCTCTCCCCTCCTGTGCATAGTTCCTCTGTGTACCTTCATCTGGATCAATTCTTATTCCTTTTTTGCATATCTAGTTTCTTAAAATTTTCTAGTCTCACTTTTATGTCACAAAGAAACCCAAGAGTTGACCATCAAACTTCTCTTTACAAGGAAATACCTCAGATATAAATATTTTAATAATATTTGTATTACCCCTGTAACCAAATGTAGGGTGCTGTTAGAGTAAAATATAAAAATATGTTGAACTTCATTATTAAATGTAAAAGTTTACAAACGCAGGCTATTTAAAAGGAATAAAATGAATCTAAATTGCACTGGAATTCAGGTAATACATCTTTTCAGATTAGTGTGATTTACTTACCCATTTTGATAAAAAAATAGTTGTGTTCTTTCCTATGTAATGTGGACATTTCCTTAGTGTCTATTCAGAATTTCCGAAGGAAGATATCTAGAATCCATGTCTTGGTTACCACTTCCATTTCATAGTTAGAAATAAATATTTAAGTAACACTAACTGAACAATGGAGTCCTTGAGTAGTACACCTTGAGTAGTACAAAAAGTTAAGCTGGTTGCCCACCAAATGGTTTGGAGTTCAAATTTACCTAAACGCATCTTGGAAAACTAGCCCTTGTGATCTATTTCTAAAACATGGAAAATCCTGGGGGGCACAGTTCTACCCTGAAACACAGGGCCAGCAGGAGTCGGAGTCAGTTGAGGGGAAAGGGCTAGTTGGCTTGTTAACTGACCCTTACATAGCTCTTATGGTGATGGTTTACTTCCTCCAATAAAATGTTACCTTGCATTGTATTTCTTTCAGTATTTTCCTGATGATTTTATTGTAATTTACTAGTTCTAAAACAATGTTCTTTTACATTCCTGCTTCTACCTCTCTTTGGCATCAGCATCAATATTCCCAAAATGTGGGGATTACCCAGCCTACCCTCTTCATTTTAGAGAGAAGAAAAAACTGAGGCCCAGAGGAATAGAGCCAGTTTCTCAGTGACAAAGCTTGATCTTGAATTTAAATTTCCTTACTGGTGGTAATTTTTGTTTCCATTTTCAGCGCATCCAACTATTGGCAACAATTAAGGCCAACCAAACAGCCTAGAAGGAATAATCAACCTAATAGCTAACTCTACTCTATTGATTATCTGCTCTATCCTGTAACATGGATCTTCCTCTGATGTGTTGTCGGCCTACAAATGGGGCCCATTTTCACAGCAACCAGTGATTTCAAGTTCTAGCTACTCCAGCCCTTTTATGTGGTTTGGCATCCTATCTTGTTCCCAGTTCCGTAGGACCATCTAAATTAGCAACACAATTTCTCTTGTCATTTTCAGTGTCTCTGACTTTGTTTTGATTTCTTTTCAAATCCACTTAGGAACCAATAATCTCATAGGAAATTTTCTAACCAGGGATATAATTTTACTTTCCCTTTAACATTATTGTCCTAAGAGAGAATGTTAACATCACTGTCCTAAGAGTGGGTTTGGGGTTTTTTTCAGGTCAGTGGTATTACCTATGATGAACACATAATAACTTGTATTTGTGAAGCACTTTACAATTTTACAGAGCACTTTGGCTCATCATTTCATCTCATTTTTTTTCACCCAACCACTCAATTCATTATATAGTAAGCACTTTATGAAACGAAGTCACTATTCTAGGCCTTCTGATATATAATGAAAAATAAAAATTATGAGGGTTCACATTTATTAATAATTATAATATGATGTCTTCAAACATAACTTTAAAAATAAGTAGGATCAG